GACGTCTTGACTGATCTGTTGGGTAGTTCGGCATACCAATCAAAAGTGATTCCTGACAGGCAGCTGACAAACAGTCGAAAGAGCAAAGCTACATTTTCTCTCGTGTTGCCACAACTGGCTCGAAAATGCGTTATATGCTGCCTGGAATTTTTGGTCCCGTCAAATATTTTAAAGTTTGGCGACACAAAACTCTTAGGGTACGGCATCGAACTCCTTCGGGTAAGGTCTACCCTTCAAAATCAAATGCACTGCCCTTATATTGGGCTAAGGCCTCCCGAACTTGCTGGACCATTTGTTTAAATTCCTTTTTTGGTATGGTACTTGATGGAGAATCCTTCTTTTGTTCCTCATCTCTATTTGTTGAGGCAACATCCCTCCTTTCATCTGCGATATGTATAATCTCCGATTGATTGACCTCTGGGAGGCTAACTATGGTGGTTGAGATTGTCCCGGAATTGTGGTCATGGCAGTCAAGGCAGCAGCCATCTCTTTCATTCTTTTCTCCATCTGGCTCATTTGGTCATCCCTTAGGAAAACATCCCTATGCAAATCATCTAGGGCGTTCTCTTTGACGAGAGGTTGAGCATCACGCGCAGATGCAGCAGCTCTGGTCTCTATGACATGGATATCCATGAAATCTTCCTCGAGGTAATCATTGAAGTCAAAGTCTTCATCATCATCAATGGAAACTACATGTTCTCAAGCCAACTCGAAAATCTCGACCCTGAGCATTTCAACATTTTCATCATCTATTGATTCTTGTAGCAACTTGAGATCTGGAGGAATTTGCTAGACATCTTCTACTTGCCCATCCATCTCGCTAGCAATTACTACAACAATGTCGGATACTTCAGACCCTTGCTTCATTCCATGATCCTGCCCTTTAGGCTCATTGGACAGTATCGGTACGATATCAATATTCAAAACTTTAGCTTTAGGAGATATTTCTCCCACTACTGTAACCCTTCTATTAGTTGATCAATCAATCACTTTTCCTAAGGGGGTTATAGAAGATGTGTTAGTTAAGGTGGATAAAATTATCTTCCTTGTGGATTTTACTATTTTAGATATGAAGGAAGATAAAGAAATACTAATCATTTGAGAAAGAAATTTTCTGGCTATTGGATGAGCTATGATTGATGTGTAAAAAGGAGACCTAACCATGAGAGTTAATGACTAGGAAGTTACTTTTAATATGCTAAAGTCAATGAAGTATCCCGCAAAAGGAAGAGTATTTAAATGTTATAGAATGGAGATTATCAATGATTTAAGTAATAATCAATTCTGAGAAAGTTATGAAGTTAAAGTAGGGCAACAAGAACTATGGTACGAAAATGAAACTGATTTTCAAGATAAATCTACTGAGATAATCACTCAGGATTCAAATTATGTTTCGAAAAGTTTTGAGATTTTAGACACTACTGAAAATAGTAAACCTCTTATTCCTTCAATTGGAAAACCTCTTGAACTTGAGATGAAGGTACTCCCTATACATTTAAAGTATGTTTTTTTAGGGAACTCATCAATATTACCTGTTATAATACCCTCAGACTTAAGTGAAGTTCAAGAAAATAAAATAATAGAAACTTTGAGAAATTATAAGAAAGCCTTTGGATGTACGTTAGTGAATTTTAATGTTATCAGCCCTTCAATCTATGTGAAAGAATTTTAATGAAAGAGAATCACAAGCTTATGGTGGATCCTTAAAGGAGATTGAACTCTATCATGAAAGATGTTGTAAAGAAAGAAATTTTAAAGTGGTTGGATGCTGAAATCATTTAACCTAATTCTAACAAAGCATGGGTTAGTCAAATTCATTATGTTTTTAAGAAATGGGGAGTGACTATACCTATTAACGAATGGAATGAAATGATTCCAACAAGACAAGTCAATGGGTGGCAAATCTGTATTGATTATAGAAAATTGAATCTTGCCACTAGGAAAGATCGTTTTCCTCTACCTTTTCCAGACCAAATGTTGAATAGGCTAGTTGGGCATCGATACTTTTGCTTTTTGGATGGATATTCAATATACCACAAATACATATAGCTCTTGAGGATCAAGAAAAGATAACATTCACAAGTCCCTATGGAACTATTGCTTTTAGAAGAATGTCTTTTGGTTTATGCAATGCTTCTGCAACTTTCGTCACTTCATCTGTGGCAGGGACTTGGAGGGTGGTCTCACTAGTCTCGAGGTTGCCCCTTCTATGGCTTTGAAGGTTGAATGGCTCCTACTTGACACTGGTCACCACTCGAATGTAGCACATCCTTAACTGTTCTAGATCTCCTCAAATGGTGATGCCCTCTCCCTCTCCCAGGACCTTTACCACCACATGATAGGGGAAGGTTACCTTCTCAAAATTGTTTAGTAATGGACGTCCAAAGATGGCGTTGTACTTGAGCGGGGAGTTAACCATTAGAAAGTCTTTGAACCTCCCAAACTGTCGATCGTTGCCCCCCCAGGAGACTGTTACTGTGATTACACTAAGGGCTTCCTTACTCTATCCCGAGGATCTGAAGAGACGATCGGACGTTGTTGTCATCTGTTGTGCTCCTTGGTGGGGCATGTTGAACATGTCTTTAAAAAGAATGTTCACTGAACTGTTCATGTCGATGAGTATGCTCCTCAACTTGTATCCGTTAAGTAAAGTTGTAATAACAATTGCATTATTGTAAGGGTTACCTTTTGTCGACAGGTCTTCATCGGTTAACGAGATGGGGAGATGAGTGGTTCTTTGTGGAATAAGAGTAACAACACATATGTCTCATGACCAGACCCTTTTTAAGCTTGACTGTCGGGAGACTTCCCTCCCCCTCCTATTATCATGGTTATTATTCTTACGATCTGAATAGTATTGGTTTGGGCTGGTTCGTTGCTTACTTCGCCAGCTGGAGCCTTTCTTTTTCTGTGTAAAATCCTCGACAACCATGAATTCTTTCAATTTCCATGCCTTGATCAAATCCTCAACGAAACTTCTAAGGTATTTGCATTCCTCCGTGTTGTGGTCGTGGTATCTGTGATAAGCTCAAAATTGGTTAGGGATTCGGGTGGAGCCTTCAGTGCTTATCAGTTGAGGCTTCTTGAAGTGATTTTTATCCTGAATGGCCTCCACTAGCTCAACCAATGAGATCCTTGAGGGGGGTCATCTTGAGTTTCTCCGATTGGGTTGTTGATTGCTCGTAATGGTGGGTCGGGCATTGATCAAGGTATGGAGGACATTCTCCATGGTGATCACCTTCTAAACTTTCCTTGTGTGGGACGAGGGACGTCATTCACCGACGAACTATCATCTATCAACCCCCTTTTTTGCGATTAGGCGTTAGCAGCAACCTTCTTGGCTTTCTCTCAATCATGAAGGATTAACTCCTCAGCAATGATATGGTCGCTAGCCATCTCCATAAATTAGGCCATTAAACTTGGCTCACTCAATCTTAGGGCATACTTAAATTATTCACACTTCACTCTCTGTATCAGGGCGATTTCGGCAATTATAGGTTCGAGGTTCTGGATTTCTAACATTTCCCGCTGGAATCTTATTCTATAGGAACAGAGGGTTTCTCCCTCCTGCCTAACTTAGAGGAGAAACTGAAACTTCTTAAGCAAGTATAACCTTTTAAACTCACCAAAAGAGAATATAAATCACGTCAGGAAAGCGTTGAAACAACGGAGAGCCAACTCTCACAACATTGTGAAGAATGAGCGTCATTTGAACACATCAGTGTTCATTAGTTGCCGACAGCCGACATAAAAGTGACCACGTAGTCGACCAGGTCAATCAGACCTTTATATAAATCTAGGTTGGGGGTCTTAAATTTTACGAATGGTTCAACCTTAGAGAGTTGTCAGAAAAATGTGTTCCCGCATGTCAGAGGTTTATGGTTTGCATGGTGTGATGTCTCTCTACCGAGGTTGATTCAGCAATATTCTGGTAGTGGGAGTCGTCGCCTCCGTCTTCCTATGTTTGGGATCATCGATTGTTGTGCACTGGTCCATCCCATCTATTATTGGAAGCAACTATACTGATGACGATTTTAGCTTAGTGTGTTCTAGCCTCCCTTAGCCAGAGCTTCTTAGAAGGCACCTACCTCCACGTCTCATTTTCAATATCAATTATTCTTTCATCATGATTACTTTCTCATTCTATCTACCTCTATAGTTTGGCTTAATGCTTCTAGGACGTTTCGCACTATGCTCCTCTTATTAAAGGCATAATTCCACGCTCACCACACTTTTTTTTAACCCAAAAATCGTTTGAAAATCACATCCAAAAAATAAAGTACGTAAAAAAACATTAAATAATGGATAGTAAATAATAAGTATCTAGAGCCTTTGTTCATAAAATAACCTCTTATTTATAGATATAAGAGATACCTTTGTCATTATTATATTCCCGCCCTTCCCTGTGTAAAAAAATGTAGAACATCATAGTAATTTACGTTATACATAGGCTAATGCATAATTACTAACCAACAGTAACGTGTTCATCATTCGTAATTCTATGCTGGCTCGCTTGGCTATTAAGGGCTGAATTCAAAAAAATGCCCAATAAGAGCATCTACAAAAATTAATTAACAGAAAAAAAGTCTAATGCAATTCCATAAAACCCCGAACTTAAATATTTATTATTTATTTATTTCTTAACCTTCCTTGTACCTTGTCTTATATGATATGTATTCAGTTATATACTTCTTTCCAAAAAATATAATCTCTTCATTTATATTAAAATACGTGAAAATACGCGTGCCATCACTCATGGTATAAAATAGAACCATCGGAAATTCATGCATGCGTCAGTTAGCAAGAAAACACGTGCAAAATAATAGCATCAACTTGAAGTATAAATACGTAACATCAACACTACTGCAATTCATAGATGGGGGCAACGAATATGGATCAGGTCAGGTGGAAGAGTCCAACAAAAATTACAAATGCATTACAGGTCCTCATAGCATGGAGATTCTCGATTGCAGATGCATACGTTAATCGCCAAGTAGACGTCCTAAAAATGCATGATTATTCCTTTTATTCAACGAAGAATCGAAAGAATAGATAAATAAACTGGGTTGGCCAGCTTGTAACGACTGAATTCTGAAAAGATCTCCATTGATTTCCCATACAGATTATCGTACAAAGGCCAGATTAAATTTAAGAAAAAAAATAACTCATAAACAGTATGAAGGCGGGCATCATGGCAATTGCTGTATCAGAAAAGTAACAACATTGTGTAGCACATGTCCATGGCTTATATCTCCTCTTCATCAAACGGATCCCTTTCTGGGTAATCACCAACCTGAAGAGAATAGCAAATCATTTCCAGGGTTCTCATTGTCAGTTGAAGCACAAGAAAAAAAAAAAAACGGTTGAAAATAAGTCGAAGAAATGCCTATACGATGGATGAGAAATTTATTTGCTAGAAAATTATGTTCAGAATGTTCTCTCGTGATCATCACTGTTAGTTAACCATATCCTAGCTAATTGGAGAGAACTCCAATTAATTCACCTAACCAATTCCTTCTCTAACACTTAAGATTTTATGAATGATAGCTTTAAAAAAGAGAGAGAAAGTATGCATGAAAAGTGTACATAGCATATTAATACTTCTATTGAAGAAATTAAGATTTATATTTTGAAATTTGTATAGAAAAGGGAACTATTTAATGACTTCCATTTTCACAAGTTTTCTTCGAAATATCTTGTTCAAGAGATGTAAAGCTTTAGCTCCTAGATGAAATAATAGAAAATTTTACCAAATATTTGACACTAAGTTAATTTTTTTAGCTGAAATCAAATTCGAGTAACGGTATTATCTAGCCAAACTCAACCTTCTTTCAAGCAAACCAATATCAGTATGCGGTAAAAAGAATGATGACCGTGCAATTTAAGAAATTTGCTAGGTCAGAGTTTTTTACTAGAAAATAATTTTTAACAAAGAAAATAATATATTTAATGATAATTATTTTCAGTCATTTGAAATACAGAAAAAATCAAACATATAAAAAATAAAGTAATGATACTCGTGATATTGAGTCATCGGGGCGAAGGTATGTGAAGAGAGTGTGTGGGTAAACATGAGCAGGCATTCTTAAAAAAGAAAAAAAGAAAATGTCAATGAGAAGCAACTAGCGCTAGAAAAAAAATTACGCATATAAGAAAAATAATGGGTAAGAGAGCCTGAAAAGTGGAACTACCAAGTAACTAGCACCGATGTAAGATAGCAAATAACCAACAAAAGCCAACTCAATGACTACAAGAAACAATGATATGAATGTTAAACTAAATCATTGAATCAAAATTAGGATTTCAACATAAGCATGCATCAAGCGACGGCAGTTCAACATGATGCAGCAAAGCAATACAACACACGTTTTATTGCGCTCTTGTGCATTAAAAGAAACAATTGCACGAGGTAAGTGCTTCGATGAACAATAAAAATTGTTAAGCCATCTACTGTGTTTGGTAGGCCAGATCTACACAGGTTTTGGAGAAAATAATCACAAAAGATTTATGGCTCAAATATATATGGACAAAAGCGTCTCAAACAAATTCAATCCTAAGAAACAACTATAATTGATCAATTCAAATCCAAATTAGTGCCGTTAAACTGTTCATGATTTAATTGACATGATTGTTGATGATGAAGTTCAAGCCTCATTACTATTTGTTGTGCTCTTTATCTTTCTTATAAGCACATTCATGGCTCCAAATATTTTGCAAGAGATTCGAGTAGCTTAGAAGATCTCTATTGTAACACACGCCAATTGAACAAATAAGATTCATAAAGGATGGGGCATTTTCACCTGTGCATGTGAGAGAATAAAAAAGGAAATAGTGATATAACTTGGATAGAAGGTATAATAAAACATTATATGAAATAGGTTTAATATACTAAATCGAACATGACACGAATAAATGGAGAAATAGAATTCATAAAACCAACCACAAATAGTTGTGATAACGATGATGACTTAGCAGTTGTTTTCATTTTAACCTAGCACCTCCTTTCGAAGCTCTTCAATTTTAAACAATAAATCTTCTAGTTTTAATTTACACTAACTATAATTTACACTCACAACATTTGATCATTTTAATAATACTTTGATCTTCAATTCAAACACATCAATCCTTTCATTTTCAGTTCCAAAATTATTTATCTTGATTATTCATTATTGATGAGAGATAAATACTATAACGGAACAACAAACTTTGAGTTTGGCTATGTTTGCTTCAAGACTATCAAACTTCATAGCAATTATAAAGAATAAAGCAACTTATCACCCATGAATATATGACTTTTACCCAATTAGAAGACATGATATCATGCAATGCAATCGAAGCAACATGATCTTAGTCAGTGTTTATGGGAAATAGCTCCATGAAAAAGAAATCTATTAAACTCATGGCATATGATATTTTGGCATCACACCAAAGAAGATGAAAGCTTAACAATTATTTTAATTTGCAATTCTAGAAACAAAAATCCATTAATTATATATTCCTTTATGAAATAGTCTGCAAGTAACACATTACAGAAATTGAAAGTCATTCTAATATTGATATTGACAAAAGCTAATGATGATAGAGCATGACAAAAAGGAATAACCAAAAACAAATCAAATGACCCTAATTAGCCTGTAACAATGCCACCTTGCAATGCACATAAACAAACTACAATAGTAATGTAAATAGGTTTGGAACAGTGCCGCTAGCGCTGCTTTATAAAATTCAGTAAAAACTTCTAGCATCGTCCCCATATAATCTTGTTTAGCACAACCATGTCTTAATGTGAGGATCCATTTTATATAAATTAAATGTTAGTGGATAAGTTCTGCATGCTAAGAACAAAATTTTTGAATGGTATTTGCATGGAGGATGACATGCCCTTTGCGGCGCATAAACAAGTTATCTGGCATTTGAACCATATATCATTGTAAGAAGACATCTTATAATGCAAGGCTTGTGGAGGGGTTGGTAGAGTCTTCTCTCCAAATAAAAGACACAAGTTCGAAACACACTCTAACCACTAATTTCTAACCTGGTACCATTAAGGGCTCAATTTCTTCCAAAAAAAATGACATTTTTTATTACGCATAGTTAAGATTACTTTTTTGCATGAATTAAAATTTAGGTAACATATTTAGATATTGGTTCTGATAATGCGTACCTTGACTTTGTCTGGCCTAAGGAAAATACCATGTCGTGGAGGACATTCAAAATAACGCTTACCTTTAACCCTGCATAATTTCCAGAATGGTCAAATAAAAAAAATGATGAAACTACTGGGCGTTTACATGAATTGATTTAAGAATCCAAGATTAAAAATGTATACAAGTCAAATAACAGGTTATTTATCTAGGTTTAAACATTGAAAATCAAGAAAATAATCAAACAAACATCAACGAATTTTTTCCTCATGAGCATCTGTTAGCTGTGAGTTTTCAAAATCTGTCTTGATATTCTAATATCGATAACTTTCTTGTTAGCAATATTGTCTCATGATTTCTGATAAAACCAAAAGAAAAAAAAAACAATTATGATGTCAAGTTCTATTTTTGGGATAAATCATACATGTTCAAATATATAATGTCAAACCATTAAGAGACATTTTCCCATAGAGAGAGTAGAGAGTATTATTAGAGATCATCATGATTCAGAATATGAAGGGCACTTTGGAGGATTAAAAACTACTACTCAGATTTTGCATGGTAAATTTTATTAGCTTGCCCATTTTAGATATGTTTATGATTATGTTAGGAAATGTGATCATTGACAAATGGCACAAAATTTATCTAAAAGAGATGAAATATCTATGAATTATATACTAGAAATAAAAATGGGACAATTTAATCCCTCATTTGAGAATCATTACATATTTATACCAGTAATATATATCTCTAAATGAATAAGAGTGACAATGTCAAATAATGATTCCAATATCGTGATTAAATTATTTAAGAAAGTATTTTTATTATATTGTAAACATCTAGAGTCATAATTAGTAATGAAACCATCTTTTTAATAAGTGAATTGAGATATTATTCAATAAATTTAAAATTAACGTAAAATTACTACTACTTGTCAGCCCTAAACAAGTGTGCAAATGATGATTTCCAAAAAAAAAATTAAATTAAGTTTGGAAAAAATGGTGAATCCAACAAAAAAAAATTGGTGCTTGAATTTAGAAGATGCTCTTTGGGCATATAGAATAACAATTAAGATCCTATTGAAATGTTGTTGACCTCATTTTTAGAGGTCCTAGTCTCCTACTCCCAGAACCCAAAATCTAGCCTTAAGAATTCCTGGTTGACCCTTGTTGACCATCCTAGCGAACTAGTAATGGAGCCCACCTCCCATAGAGCTTCGAGCTACTTCTTGACTCATTCTTGTGAAGAACTCGCACGAGTGGTTCCAAGCACTCAACTTCTAGTTGCAAGGGTTAAGGACCAACATGTAGAGGGCCCGAAAATGAGTTCCTATAGGATCAAATGGCCTTAGGTGAACCATTTGTGACTCGAATACTCGCGAACGCCGCAGTTTATGTACTCACTGCACCACACACGAATTTGACTTGATTTGACTTGCCCATTAGTTAGTTTGTCCGGACAGCCCCGGATGTAGAAACGAACCGCACCGGCGCGTCCGGAACGACAACTTTAGCTATAAAGGACGCCTATATAGCTAGGGTTACACGCGCGGGCCCAGACTCAGCACAGGTTCAACTCGGGTTCGATTTGGGCTGGACTCGGGCTGAATAAGGGTTAAATAATTTTGAATTTCAAATTTTCAAATTTCAAATAGGCATTTAATCTCATTTTAATTGAAAGTTAAACATTTTCCTTTTGAATCTGCTTCATTAATGGAAATAATTTATTTCCCCGCCAATTGCTTTCAGAATAACGGCTCCCCCGCTCCAATTCTAAAAAGAAGAATCGCCTTCTTCCTACGGGATCTTCCTCCTTGGCCTCTCCCGAGCTCCTGCTCATTTACCTTCGCTCGACAGCCTTCTCCTGCTCGATCCCGCTCTCCCTCTGCGCTCGACAGCTCCTCTCTCTCGCTCGCCCTCCTCGCGCCTGCTCCTTCGCTTCGCCTCCCTCGATCCCGCTCGACCTCGCTCACCCGCTTCTCTCTGCGACTAGATCGAAGCCCCCGATCAAAGCAGATCTGCTGCCCGCTCGAGCCCGCTCTCCCTCTGCGCTCAACAGACCCTCACTCGCCTCACCCGCTCCTCTCTGCGACTCGATCGCAGCCCCCGATCGAAGCATCTGTTGGCCTCCGCTCATTCACGAACCGAAGCCCGCGGCCTCTCTGTTCGGAAACTCCCATCGAGACCCTCGTCGTCCTCTCACGCGTCACCCAGCTCGATTCAACCTCCCTCTTCCTCACGCACGCAGGACAAGCGCCCGAATCTCTCCCTCACTCGACTGAAGCTGCTAGCCTCCTTCTCGCCAACGAACAACTACCTCCCTTTCCCATTCCTTTTCATTCCTTTTTGTGTCCCTGCTGTGTCGAAGTAAGGTAAGGACAGGTATATTCTTCCAGCTATTGCATCTTATGGCTATCAAATTGTTTACATAAATTTGAAATGGAATCCTCTCCACATGAATACATTCTTACTGATTTTTGAGAAATATAAACAATATTTCAATTATATGTTATCGCCAATTTTAAGTGCTTAGTTGCTGGTTTTATGTTTCAAGTACCTAAATGCAAAAATTGTGAGGTTCCAATGATCATTTACTTGCTGGTTTTAAATGCACTGTTGTTGGTTTATGTTTCAAGTACTTAAATGGAATATTGTGAAGTCCCAATGACCATTTACTTGTTGATCTTAAATACACATTTGTTGATTTCATGCTTCAAGCACTCGAAAGGAAATACTACGAGGCTCGAGATGACCGTTATTCTAGGGCTTGAATGCTTCTTTGCGGGTCTATGTTTTTTTTTATTTCTGAATGCCTCCCTTGAGGGTTGTTTTACTTGTTGTTTGGTGGGTTTAAAAATTGCGATTTTTAGGGTTTTGTCTATTGATTCACGTACTATTTTAGAGCCAGTTTACTAATTGATTCACGTACTATTTTAGAGCCAGTTTGTTAACTGATTTCGGAGAGTTTACACACTATTTTGGACTGGATTTCCTAGCTGATTTTGGGACATTTAAGATTAATGCTTAAGCTTACATGAGAGTTGTTTGGGAATTTTAAAATTACTATTTTAGGGCTGATTTTGAGATCTTTGTCTATATTGTTTTGGGACTAATTATGAGAGTTTTGCCTACTGTTTTGGAGGCATTAAACCCACCATCTGCGGGGTTGTTTTAATCAATATTTTGAGGCATTTTGGTGGGCTAAATTTGAGGCAATCCACACATTATTTTGGCGAGATTTATGTAGCCTTTAAGTGCTGATTTACATGCGGTTTAGAATTGATTTTATAGACCCCTTTTTGCCCATTGTTTTGGGTTTCAATTAATTGTTATTTAAACGCTTTTAGGTCGATCCACTCGTTGTTTTCCCCCTTGACTTTACTAGTTTTGGAAGTGGGTCTGCCTCATCTTTCTTTTATTTTACTTCTTTTTAAATGATTAAGTCAAAAATTGGGAATTTCTGATTTAATTAGTTGGAAAACACTTATTTGAGGGTGAAATGTCTTAAATCACTTTAAGCACAAGTTAAAACGTAGGCTTCTAGATTTTAGGAGCATACCCTAGGAGAGAGTCCATCCACCTAATCATCAGTATAGTCTTCCTAGATTTTAGGAGCACACCCTAGGTGAGAGTCCATCCACCTAATCCTCAGCATAGTCTTCCTAGATTTTAGGAGCACACCCTAGGTGAGCGTTCATCCACCTAATTTTCAAATAAATAATGAAACTTGACACTTGACCCTGATTCACAAACTGATTAAGACACACTTGACCCTGATTCACAAACTGATTAAGACACATAATACTCTGATTCACAAACTGATTAAGACACTAGACATGAGGACATACCGAGTACCACATACCGAGGCGTAGTCCATGCTTCCTTAATTAAATCAACAGTGAAATTCCCTCAATGACTTAACCTACAATGAAACCCAGTGCATCGGGATTTAAGCTTGAATATTACACTCAAATCCTCTTGGCGATTGGGGAAATTTGTTAACGCCACATGGATCATTGAACTAGGATGAGTCTAGGGTCTAGGTGGTGAGGGTGATGACAACATTGCTTATTTGTGCTTAAACGAGGGATACGATGTGAGATTATTAGAAGGATCCATGATACTATTCGTCGACAAGTTTTGTGGTTTATACGATTAACCCTGTTAAGACTTGTTGCACACAACATCATCAAGGAAAAGACTATTGCAGATTTCATGGCGACTCTATCAGGTATGTATGAAAAGTCATTGACGAATAACAAAGTGCACTTGATGAAAAAGTTATTCAACTTGAGGATAACGGAAGATGTGTCTGTTGCTCAACACCTGAATGATTTCAACACCATCAAAAATCAGTTGTCGTCTGTTGAAATTGATTTTGACAATGAGATACGTGCGCCGATATTGTTGGCTTCATTGTCAAATAGCTGGGAAGTCATGAGGATGATAACCAACAGTTATGCAAGTAAATTTAAGCTGAAATATGATGATATTCGTGATTTGATTTTGATTGAGGAGGTCCGCATGAAGGATTCTGGCGAGACCTCGTGTTCAATTTCGGCGCTGAATGTTGATTCTATAGTGAGATCACATGACAAAAACTCAAACAGAAGAAGATCAAAATCAAGGTCTGGTCAACAGACAACCTGTTGACTGCTGGAATTGTGGCAAGACTGACCACATAAAAAGGAACTGCAAGAATCCTAAGAAAAAAGAGAATGATAGCGCTAATGTTATAATTGAAGAAATACATGATGCACTATTGCTGACAGTTCACAGTTCTGTTGATGACTGAATACTGGATTAAGGGGCTTTTTCCATACATCTTTCCACCGGCAGTTGATGTGAAACTATGTTGCAAGTGACTTTGGAAAGATACATCTGACTGATGGAAAGCTCTGAGCGTGGTGGAGATGGGAGACATTGATATTGCACTCCCTAACAAGAGTAAATGAACTTTGCAAAAGATTAGACACGTTCCTGAGTTGAAGAAAAACTTCATCTCTGCTGGGCAGCTCAATGAGGGTGATCATTCGGTGGTGTTCTCAAATAACACTTGAAAGGTTACAAAAAGAACATTAGTATTGACTC